TTTATTATTATTATTATTATTATTTGACCTATAATTATATATAATTATATATAATTATATATAATTATATATCATTATATATCATTATATATAATTATATATAATTATATATATTATAATTATATTATATATTATTCGTTATTGGAATATCCTCATTTATCTAGGATTAGTGGACCGGCGCATATGATCATTTTCCTGGTATTTTGTGGAACCTTTTTTTATTTACTACCGAAAACAAATTACGGGTATTATAATTGTTATTGTTTATTATAAAATGTTTATATGCGTAATAAGGGTGTCCCATACATATATTTACAGTTATTCGGTCGTTGTTCATTTTTATGCATTCATCTCCTTTTCTGCTTTTAATGTAGGAAGGAGGAGGGTTGTATTTGTATGATATTTAGAACAAAAGGAGTGTCAATATGAATTTAGTTCTATTACATTTTATATTATTTGATGATCATAACCGCTTAGGTACTTGGCATTTACGTATATTTAGATGATCTACTGTATCAATGTTATACTTTTTTTACTTTGTATAATCTGATATAAATTTTCGTTTAATTTTTTTTTATATTTAATTTGGTTTAATTTTGTTTAATTTGTTTAATTTGTCTAATTTGTCTAATCGTTTTACCAATCTATACTGGTACTCCTGATTTTCTGGTGTACATTAATTTTTGGTGTCGCAACTGAAATTTTTTTATTTTTTTTTATATTTTTAATTTTTATTATATTTACATACATACATACATACATAAAAAAAAAAAAAAAAAAAACCTAATAAAAGCCTAATAATGCACAAATTTCTCCGAAATAATTTGATATAAAAGTCCGCCATCATACCTTTTTCTTTTCCTCATCAAAAGTCTTTTTTTAAACTCTGTCAATTAAAACTACGAAGCTTACCGCTTTACTTAAAAGTAATTAAATAAAAAAAAAATAATCAATTTATATATCAATACGAAATAGTATCATCATTTTTTATTCATCATCAATCCATCCGAATGAATAATAAATCAAATCGCGAAAGAAACTTACGCGATATTATTTGATACCTATATAATTTATAAATCTTTAATAATCATTTAACAAATCACAGATTCCTATTGACGAACTTTTTTTTTTTTTTTGAAATCTTCATATTTGATTGTCATCCGAGCGCAGTGATTTTACCTTGCCATCATTTTTACATAAAAAGGACCTCTTCCCTTTTTTCAACCAAAAAAAAAAAAAATTATCTTATTACTTTTCTTTTTACTCGATCCATAAATATTTTCCTTTATTTAAAAAATAAATAAAAAATTTATAAATAACGATATAATGGAAACCACCGACGCTGCTTTGAAATTCTTGGTTAGCGGTCCTATAACTCTTCCAATGATTGGTATGTTTTCATTTTCATTATCATCATCGTTATTATTTTTATTTTAATTCTCAATTTTATTTTCGTTTTCAATTTCATTTTTAATTCTCATTTTTTTTCATTCTCTTTTTCATTCCTTTTAGCTTACGTAGCTCAAAAAGCTGCTGAGGTGATCCCATGCGACCCTCCACCAATTAATAAACGACAAGACCAATCTAAAAATATGTCACGTAATGTTGGTGAAGATGATTATCAGCCTTTACCTCCTTTGATATCATTTATTCAACGATTGGTTGTAAAATCAAACGTTTCAACTGCTACTTTTCTTACTACCGTTGTTTACTTGGCTCGTCTGAAAAATAAATTACCAAAACTTGCAAGAGGTTAGTATTCTTTTATCTTATTTATTATTCCCCTTTGAAATCTTTATTATTTTTTTCGTCTTGGCTTTTTTTTTTCTTGCCGGTGGCTTCGTAGTTGAATATTATGTGTCGTCACATGATATTTTACCTTGTGAAACTACGTGATCCTCTCGGCGTCGCTTTTATGCGAGATCTTTGTTACACTACGTCGGCCGAAAAATCAAAGGATTGTATAAGCGAATTCGTTTTGTGCATTTAAATTTATCCTTGTGTGGACTGCTATCCTTATTTTTTTCCCATATTTTATTATCTTATTTTACCTTTCATTTTTCTTTAAATTAATTTTGGTTCTAACCTCTTTTATTATTTCTCCCTATTTAGGAATGCATTGTACTCGTCATAGAGTTTTCCTCGCTACCCTAATAGTTTCATCGTAAGTTATCTGTCATATCTATACTTCTTATTATGTTATATTATTATTATTAGTATAAATTCACTTATCTTTCCTATCTTTCCTTTTGTTGTCCATCTTTCCTTATATTGTCAAAATTTTTCTAGAAAATACTTGAATGACTCCTCACCCAGAAA